GGAGTGGTTATTTTGTTTTTTGTTGATAACTCTATTCCTGCCGAATGTGTACAGGAAAGAGTTGTGCAGATCCTTTTTTCTAATCTGCCAAGCTAATTTTTCAAGTCTGCAAGTAATAAATAAAAACCACAAGCCAAGTAGACAATGCTTCGATGCGCTAGTTTATGCTACACAAGAGTGTTTCTATAGAGTGATATGGAGGAAAAGATGTAAAAAACTTGCAGTATGGGAAGAAAGTATAGGTATAAGCAGAGCTATCAAGAGGGGAAAAAGGCCCAGAGTCAATAGTACTGCCCAAGTAGAAGCTAACTCTGTAACAGAAGATAAAGGACTAACAAAAAAACTCTAATGCAGTAGAAAACCGTCCAAAAAAGCAACAAAAAAGGCGGGCAAAAGTGTTAAAAGAAGAATTCGCAATGTTAAATAGAGTGAAAAGACATAGAAGCTCAGAAGACTTCTTATCAGAGAATGAAGTTGCATCAACAAGCATCCGAGCAAGAGACAGAAAGTGAATGAAGAAGGAGCCAAACTATTGGAAGTCAGAAAAACAAAGAATACTTTGGTTATGTTTGGAAATTTAGCAATAAAAACAATAAGGTTACAAATCTTGAGTTCTTTTATAGCGAAATAGTGGTCAAAGTAAAGTTGGAAATAATATAAAAAAAAATAAGGTAGCTGAGTACCATGCTATAGCAGGTTTTGAAATGCGGGTATTACTGCATGTGGGATCTGTTGGCAAACATCAGTGTAATAACCATTCTTGGGCACTTTTATAGCAGCCAGGTTTTGCCTAGTATGTATTTAGATAGATTAATTTTTTGTTTAAAAAATTATAATATTCTAATAAATTAGTAAAGGAAAAAAAAAAAAATACAACATTAAAACACAATTGTAATATTATTAAGATAAACTTGATAAAGAGTTTACAACTATTTGTATACAATTTTGTTACAACTTAAATACAATATTAAACCAAAATTTTTTCTATACATTAAGAAAATAAATTATAAAAAAATTGTAACAATTTTGTAATAGCTTTGATACAAAATACCAAGTTTCTATAAAAATATTATTTTTATATTTTAAAAACATTTTAAAATAAGCTTTTTAAAAATGTTTTTAAAATATTGGTTTAATATCTTTAAAATAGTTTTAATAA